TGTGCAGGGTGAATCCAGCTGTGTGCCTGGAGTGTGCAGGGTGAATCCAGTTGTGTCCCAGGGGTGTGCCATGAGAAATCCAACTGCGTCCCTGGGGTGTGCAGGGCGAATCCAGCTGTGTCCCAGCAGTGTGCAGGGGGAATCCAGCTGTGTGCTTGGAGTGTGCAGGGGGAATCCAGCTGTGTCCCAGCGGTGTGCAGGGGGAATCCAGCTGTGTGCCTGGGGTGTGCAGGGTGAATGCAGCTGTGTCCCAGCAGTGTGCAGGGCAAATCCAGCTGTGTCCCAGCAGTGTGCAGGGGGAATCCAGCTGTGTCCCAGGGGTGTGCAGGGTAAATCCAGCTGTGTCTCAGGGGTGTGCAGGGTAAATCCAGCTGTGTCTCAGGGGTGTGCAGGGTGAATCCAGCTGTGTCCAGAGGTGTGCAGGGTAAATCCAGCTGTGTCTCAGGGGTGTGCAGGGTGAATCCAGCTGTGTGCCTGGGGTGTGCAGGGTAAATCCAGCTGTGTCTCAGGGGTGTGCAGGGTGGATCCAGCTGTGTCCAGAGGTGTGCAGGGTGAATCCAGCTGTTCTTGCTTTATCCCATGTTTTTCAGCACACAGCAGGTGTGATTGGTTCAGGGCCGAGGCTGGATTCTCCTCAGCCTTGCAGAGCCTGGTGATCCAGCAGTTTTGCTCCCGGTTTCGCTCCCATTTCTCGGTTTCGCTCCCATTTCTCGGTTTCACTCCCATTTCTCCGCGTGGCTGGCAGCGGATCCTGCTCTGGGATGAGCGCTCCCGCCGGGGAGGCCGGGCATGGTTTGTGAGTCAGTGGAGTGGCTGGAGCTGCAGTGTTACAGTGACACACATTCCTCTGTTCGTGTGTGGAAATTGCTCTTCTTGAATGAAATTTCTGTAATTCCCCAGTGCATCCCCAGCCTTTCCTGGGAAGGGGAGGGACGTTCTTGTGCAACAGAACTGCTCTGGAGCTCGTTCAGGAGCACAGTGCTCATGTCCWGAGCATTCATTTGGTGAGATGGGATTGCAGAGTGAGTGTGATGAGAAAGGAAGAATTCTCTCCAAGGAAAGCAGGAGCTCACTCCTGTGAGGATGTGCCCTGTGCCTCCCTCCCCAGAGGCACAGCCTGCCTGGAMTGGGTGCTGGAACTGGGTGCTGGAACAGGAACCTTGGGGTGCTGCTGGCTGGGAGCAGCAGTCACCTTTTGTCGGATCCCTTTCACAGCCATTGGCACTCCAGCTGCCCTCTCCTGGTGTGAYTGCTGAAGTTTCTGGAGCTCACCTCTCCCTCCAAGGAGCTGGGTTGTCACGGCACATCCAGATGTCAGGACATCGCTCCCTCGTGCAGCCAATTGAGCTTGGCGTTGTCTTCTGGATTTCTTTCAAAACCCTGCTTCGGTGGTGAACTGCATTTTCTGGCTATCACATCTCATCGGCGTCAGTGCTCATCTGGGGAGAAGTTCTCTCTCTGTKCACCTCCTTGTTTCTCATGTTTACACCGTACTGATGGAGCTCTGCACGTCCATGCTCGTCAGAGCTCGGGATCCTTAACACAAGCAGATCCCAAGGAGATGCAAGATCCTCTCTGTTGTTTCATTGCCACTCCAGAGGAATCCCCAGCTTTTGGAATCCAGAGGTGTTAGAAATTGAAGCCCTAACTTTTGGAATCCAGAGGTGTTGGAAGTCATGGCTTTGGCGCTGGGTTCTGCTGTTACAGACACTGTTTGTTCTTCCTGAAAGGGAAATGAAGGAGCCCTGGGATATTTGTGTGCAACGAGGTGAAAATGTGTTGCTGTTTAACATTGCAGGAGTCGAGAAATGGGGAAAGGATCTTTTAAGGACAGCCTTTGAAAATCAAATAAATAGATATGATCAATGAAGATAAAGGAGCTGTGTGACTGAGGGAAGGGACCTGAGGATTGGTGTTTATGTGCACTTTGAGTGCTCAAAATCAGGCACAAAGACYTGATTGAGAAAATGCTTTTATCCATATTTGTTAGGGTTGTTAAAAGAGAGGTGGYTAGGGATGTGACTGAAATACCTGTGGATGAATAATCTCTTCCATTACCTCACTTCTGACAGCTGTTGGAGAAGGCAATTTTTATTTTCTGCTTTTCATAGTGACTAGGGTAAAGGGTATTTGRGAAGGGGCTGGAGGCAGCCTGTTTCTCCTGTGTGCCATTGTCCTGCTGGAGTGAGTCCAGAGGAGCCACCAAGYGCAGGGCTGGAGCACCTCTGCCTTGAGGAAAGGCTGGGAGAATTGGGATTGTTCAGCCTGGAAAAYAGAAAGCTTTGGGGTGATCTCACTCTGGCCTTCCAGTGTCTGAGGGGAAGGATGGAGAGGGACTGGGGACAAGAGCCTGGGGTGACAGGAGGACATGCTTTCAAACTGTTGGAGAATTGRTTTAAATTGYRTTTCCCTGTGAGGGTGGGGAGKCCCTGGCACAGATTCCCAGAGCAGCTGTGGCTGYCCCTGRATYCCTTTGAGTGCCCAAGGCCAGGCTGGACATTGGGGCTGGGAGCACCTGGGACAGKGGGAGGGGTMYCTGCCATGGCAGGRGTGGCRCTGGAWRGGATTTAWGGTCCCTCCCAACCCAAACCTTTCTGTGATTCCACGGTGACCAAACCAAATACAAACACCACTTAATACCCTTTTGGATTTTGCTGGGAATGTAATGATCAATCTTTGGAGCAGTTTTGTTTCAAAGTTCCCGTAGGTCAGTCTGAGCCCTGGCAGATGATTTGTTCTGGGGAAGCTGCTGGGCACCCTCTGAGCAGCCTTTATGGGGGCTGTTGTGGTTTGCTGGGACATCACTCCAGCRCTGCTGAATCTCTCTGCAGCTTCTCCATTCCTCACGTGGCTCATGGAAATCAGAATTTGCTCTTTGCCAGCTTTTGTGGTTTGGCCACGGCTTGCAGCGCTTGCCATGAGTTCAGCTCCAAGTGCTGCACGGAAGTATTTGGGCTCGGTGACATTTGGGTGGCACCAGGCACGGAGCTGGTTCAGCAGCAGAGCAGGGATGGAGCTGGCAGGGCAGGAAAGGCTGTGGGGCTGCAGCTTTGGGACGTGCAGCTTTGTGTTCACTTGGTGTTGGTGACCCATGGGGCAAATGCTACTGCAGAGGGTGCCAAGGCTGAGACATTACTGACAATAACTGAGCTGAGATACAGTAAYGAGGATTTTTAAACTGGGATTCTGAGTGACTGACCCCTGAGACTTTGCAAATGATGTAAATATATATCAGGTAGTTTAATAATATATAGTTAATCTTTTAGAAGTATGATGGTCACAGAACAGTGGAAGAATTTAGACTGGAGGGGATTTCTGGAGGTCAACTGTGGTGCTTTCCTCCATCTGATTCTTAGATGAGATATACAGAATATGATCTTAGATGAGAGATACAGAATATTGTTTTAGAATAGAAATAAAGCCCAATCCCAAGGTCTTGGTCCTGGTGGAAATGGTGCTGGAGTATCAGAAGTGAGGGTTAAGGTCAGTGATCGTGATGTAACATTATAGTCACTGGTCACTGGTGGGATATGAGCATCTGAACCAGTTTTTRGGTTTTTTTTTTTGAGCTGGAATCACCCAGCACGTGTTGCTGAGCTCTCTCCTTCGGCCTGGGCAGGCTTTGTGCAGAGCCAGGGCKAAACCCAGTGTGAAAAGCTACAGCATCCTGCAAGGAGCCTGCCCYAGTGCAGGCATTGCTCAGTAAAAGCACTTTATAAACTGCTCCCTGCCCAGCAGAGAGGTGCCTCAGACCAGCCGGGCTCCAGGGGCTGTGTAAACCCTGAGCAGGAGGGGAGTAGAGAGTGCCCTGTGCCCTGGGGTTGGTGGCTGCTGGGGATATAATCARTGAAGRTAAAGGAGCTGTGTGACTGAGGGAAAGGGCCTGAGGATTGGTGTTTMTGTGCACTTGAAGCATKGAGTGCCCAAAATTCAGGCACRAAGACCTGATTTGGAAAATGCTTTTATCCATATTTGTTTGGGTTGTTGAAAGAGAGGTACCTGTGAGTGAATAATCTCTTCCATCACCGCTCACAGCCCCAGCATGGGGCTCAGCTTCTGCACTTTGGTCCCCAGTCCTGAGCTGGGTTTTTAAATTTGCTTCCTCATGTGAGCTCGACAGCTGCAGGGATGAGATTTGGAAGTGGAAAGTGAGAGAAGGGTTTGTTTTCTTGCATTTTCAACATATCCAGTCCATGACAGGCACCAATCTCTGCTCCCTGGGATGGGACAGGKACAGGGAAGGGCTGGAGCTGGGCCAGGGCAGGCTCAGGCTGGAGAGCAGGGAAAGGTTCTTCTGTCCCCAGAGGGTGCTGGCACTGCCCAGGCTCCCCAGGGAATGGTCCCGGCCCCGAGGCTGCCAGAGCTCCAGGAGCRTTGGGACAGCGCTGCCAGGGATGCACAGGGTGGGGTTTGGGATTTGGGATTTGCGGGGGTTGGGGTTGGAATCCATGATCCTTGTGGGTCCCTTCCCACTTAGGATGTTCTGTGGTTCTGACAACTTCTTTAGCCAATACTTTTAACTTCCTGCTTTATTTTCCTGCTCTGAATAACTCAGTTTTCACCAAATCCAGCTGTTGTGTTTTTCTCCTTTGTGTTAGCTTAGCCTGACTACATTTTCCASGTTTATCCGGGAGGCTTTCCTTGATTCCTGCCTTGACTCCCTCACCTGAAACTATCTCAGTGAAATACAAGCACAGACACTTGTGTTACACTTCGTGTGTCTTAAAAGTAATTGCTGYTTGTCCCTTTCTTGTTCATGTGTAAATCTAGCACACACAAATCAATCTGTGTGTAATAATCTGAGTGTATACATAACAATAAAAGGATATAAATGTTAAAGGTAAGTCATCCTCTGGAGCTCCATAACCTTGTTACAGGCTCTAATGGGGAACATAGCTCTCAGTTTGGAGCAGAAAAATGGCCATAAACTCTGATTATAATAAAAAGAATAGCAAATGAAACCATTTCCTCATGGCTTTTTCTCCCCCCTCTATAAATAGGTGCGTTCCATGGATGAACTGAATCACGATTTCCAAGCGCTGGCTCTGGAGGGACGGGCTATGGGAGAGGTAAGTGAAAGGCCTGTAGGAAAAGTTAAAAAATCCATATTTTGGGGGGAGGAGGAAATGAAATAGCAGATTTTTGAGGCTTTGGGACGATTGTGCTGCAGAGAGCTCTCCATGGAAGTGTGTGTGCGTGTCTGTGTGCGTGTCTGTGTGTATGAGTGTGTGTGTGTCAGTGTGTGTTTGTATGAGTGTGTGTCTCTGTGTGTGTGTGTGTTTGTGTCAGTGTGTGTGTGTTTGTATGTGTGTGTTTGTGTCAGTATGTCTGTGTGTGTGTCTGCGTATCAGTGTGTGTATTTGTGTCAGTGTGTCAGTGTCTGTGTGTGTCTGTGTGTCTGTCAGTGTGTGTGTATTTGTGTCAGTGTGTCAGCGTGTGTGTATTTGTCTCAGTGCATCTGTGTGTGTCAGTGTGTGTGTGTCAGTGTGTGTGTGTCGGTGTGTCTGTCTGTGTGTCAGTGTGTCTGTCTGTGTGTCAGTGTGCTGGAGCAGCCCCACCTGTGCCCCTCTGAATCCCCTCCCCAGCTCAGCCATGCTGCTGTTGCCCATCCTGCAGGGAGCAGTGCCCGTGTGACAGCAGTGCCCGTGTGACAGCAGTGCCCGTGTGACAGCAGTGCCCGTGTGACAGCAGCCCGAGCTGTGGCTGGACCCAGCACTGTGGGTTTATTTTGGGATTGGGTGAGCTCAGGGCCCGTCCCGCTGCTGGCCTGCCTGCTGCCATTGTCTGCTGCCCCGTTCCTGCTCCTGGCTGCCCTTTCCTTGGCTCCTGGCAGCCAGGCCGGGGCTGTGCTGAGTGTTTGGAGTAACTGAGCAACATGAGCCGGGGCTGCGGGGGTGATAAGGGCAGGGCAGAGGCCTTTGAGCTTCACAGAGCCCTTACCAGAGGGATTTCAATCTCAGAGCAGCGAGGAGGTGCCAGATTTGGGGGGGAAATGCCCACTGGTTTTCATGGAAAAAAGAGAATTTWTCTGTTTTTAGTGTGATTTGAAAGAATAGTTTGTTACTGCAGGCTCCTGGAAGTAGGAGGTAGAGGGTTCTTTTCTTTTTCTTGCCTGGTTTGTTTTTCCTTCAGTAAGTCCCTTGTGGAAGGACAGAGGAGGAAATATGGCTGATCGGGGGATATTGATGTGTGGCAGGTCAGCTTGAGGCAGCACTGCTGTTCTGGACAGCTTTCCTTGCTGTGTCCTCTCAGGCTCAGGCTGGTTCATTTTCTCATGTTGAGTCCATTGTGTCTGTCACCCAGTGCATGAGCCAKGTCTAAAAATGAAATAAAATTCCCCAGAACCCTGAGGTTGCTGTTTTCGATAAAAAGAGCAAACCGGGATTATGGTATGGAGGGACTCATAGAGAAGTGCCCTCTCTGAGCTGAAAGACTCCTTTCCTTGTCCCCCTTTCCTTCCTTCCTGTTCCCTTTCCTTGTCCCCCTTTCCTTGTCCCCCTTTCCTTCCCTCTTGTCCCCCTTTCCTTCCCTCTTGTCCCCCTTTCCTTCCCTCTTGTCCCCCTTTCCTTCCCTCTTGTCCCCCTTTCCTTCCCCCTTGTCCCCCTTTCC